GATTTAGTGGTGTCAGAAATGTCTTTGTTAAACTTGTTTGTTTGAGGCTCAGGCGAAGCCAGGGACATGGGTCCCTGCCTAGTGAGGCCGTTTGTGTGTGTGTGTGTGTGTGTGTGTGTGTGTGTGTGTATGTGTGTGTGTGTGTGTGTGTGTGTGTGTGTGTGTGTGTGTGTGTGTTTACGTATGTATGTGCGTGTCTTTGGGCTCATGCTTGCATTAGCCTGTGCGTGTATGTGCAATTACATACTTTAATACGTATACCCTTATGCCTGCTTGTTTTTACCTTAAATCTGCGCGTTCCATGCCGCTGCCTCTTAGCAAATTCCCCAGAAGCCATAGAGGGATGATCAGACGTCGCCATCCCCCGAAAGAGGTGCCATAAGTCGAGAGGGGAAGCGAGGCAGCCGAAAAGACCTTGAGGGGACGGGGCTGTGTACAGAAGGTTGCTTCTACACCTTCGTCCTGCTATGCTCTGTGTTTACTCTGTCTGTTTTGTGGTATTGATTTTCTTGTGTAGATGACAGACGGTCTGGAATGTTATAGTAATTTCAGGAGTTTTTTTGGGGGTGGGGGATATAATTCTTTGTTTTGGTATGTATGCTGATTGCAAAAAGAATATTGCGCAGATCTCTCTGTCTCTCTCTCTCATTCTCTCTCATTCTCTCTCACTCTCTCTCACTCTCTCTCACTCTCTCTCTCTCTCTTCTCTCTCTCTCTCTCTCTCTTCTCTCTCTTCTCTCTCTCTCTCTCTCTCTCTCTCTCTCTCTCTCTCTCTCTCTCTCTCTCTCTCTCTCTCTCTCTCTCTCTCTCTCTCTCTCTCTCTCTCACTCACTCACTCACTCACACACACACACACACACACACACACACACACACACACACACACACACACACACACACACACACACACACACACACACAGAAGTCAAGCGTAACCCTCTCTGCGCTTCCTCCACCAAGATTAGGATGAGTAAGACTTTACTCACGTATCTTGACATGAATCGTGGATATCTTGGTCTCGTGCCCGCGTGAGTAAAGCACTCCGTCGTCACTGCTGACAGGAATGGTGAATCTAGACTTTTTTTCGGGCGCGATAATCTTTGATAGAAGTGGTATTTAAGGACCAGACTTTTCTGTCAGAATGGTGAAGGATTTAGCTTTACAACCGCGGTAGTGACAGGGGTTGGGCTCAGAGCCGCTGCAGTACTGTTAAAAGATGAAAGTTAGTTGTAATATAACTGTAAATTTTGTAAATGATCTGACAATTATGCAAATGGTTTTATTAGATACTACATCGTAGTTTACTGTGGCAAAATACCTCTTTAGTGTGATTTATAACTAATGTTCTTGCCACTTCGTTGTTTGACAGGCGATTTTTTTCCTTTTTTTTCCTGAGAATGTTTAGCGTGGCATAATTCGTGAGAAGACTATGAAGCTGAATTGTGTGGCCCGATGGATGTGAAATATAGGCTGCATTGGTCGCTATATGCGCAAATGTTAGTAGGAAATCAAGCAGGTTAAGAATAAGGAAAAAAAAAATAGTGGTATCTTCCTGATTTCTTGCGGCTCAGTGCATTACTCCCATGGTCGTCGCCATATTACACAGTGTAAATTAACCGTCATGATATCAATTTTACATATCTAGCTCGCGCCGCTAGATATAACAGCTAAGGGGGGCGGGTTAGCGTTGGGGGGGGGGGGTTGGAAGTCATGTCATATTGAATCGCTCGCTCTGTTGATCATCGGAACACGGCCCCTTCGAGCTCGCGTACTGCCGTCACGCTGCATTCCCTTGACTTCATGATTTACCTCATGGCTTTTCTCTCGATATTACGGTGAATATAATGCTGGTGATGATGGTGATTATTATTATCATCATCATTATCATCTTTATCGTTTTCATCATCAATTTTTATACTTTTTACCATCTTTACCATCACCCCCGCCATCGCGCCTGTATTCACTCCACTCTCCAGCCAGTTTCTCTCCATCCACTCCGGCATCGCATCTTTTAATGTAGCGCGGCGACGGAGTAACACGAGACGCGGATCCGAAACCGAACCCTCCCAATTATGCAGCGAAGAACAGCCGTTACGAACCTTTCGTCTCTTACCACAGAAAGATTCGGGCTTCACAAACAACAAAGTCACAGTATATTTTTTTTTCCTCTCTCTTTTTTTTATCCTGACAGACAAAAGACTCGTATCCTGGTCAGTACACCACGTCATTGTCCGCAGTGCCTCGCGTACGTGTGTCGGCCGCCGTCCCGTCAGGCCCCCGAGACTCGCGCGGCCGCTTCTCGCCTCCCACCGAGCCTCATTAGGGCCGCCTCAGCACCTCCGCCAGGGTGATGCTACTGCTGGTGGCTGTCGTGGTGGTGAAGGTGGTTGTCCTTGTGGTGGTGGTGGGTTTTCTTGGTGTTGACGGCGGTGGTTGTGTTGTTGGTGTTGATGATGGGCTTCTTGGTGGTTGGGGTGTTGGTGGTGGCTGTAGCGGTGGTTGTCTCGGCCTAAATCGTATATCTGTTTCTTATATTCAGTCTGAAATGGTGTTCTTTTTCATTTACTTTGTGTTTGACGGTAGCTTCAGCGTTAGAAGTATGGGGATTACATATTCATATTCTATGTTTTTTTCTTTTCTTCCCTCTCAATTATCTGTTATCTTTCTTTGTGGCTCCCAATTTTCTTGATGTTTTGACGTCATCTCTCCCTCTTCTCGTCGCTTTCTCCTTCCCCTTTCCCTTTGCCACACCTTTACTGCGCTACTCCATGCCATGCATTCGCTATTTTGGGAATCATTCTAGCTTGTCACTTCTCCCTCTTCCTCCCTACAGTTAGTCAGCTCTTTTCAGTGCTGTGGTTCTCATGCCTGACTAGATTTCCGTATGTTTCCGTCCATTTCTCTTACTGTTCTCTAAGACCCACCCTATATTTATCTCACCCTTCGCCACACTTAGTCACCTCCCCTCTTAGTCCTCTTCTATGTGTGTATTGGTAGTCAAACCCGTATGTTATGCTCCCCCGCCCACTATTTTCACGTCCCTACTGAATATTTTAGCTCCAACCTCACTGCCTCAGCTCGCCCATTCCGTACTTTAGTTCCTCTTGTTAATACTTAAAGCTTAGCACGTCTAGCAGTTCTCATGGAGAATACTTTCAGAACTCGTTCATTCGTTACGTAAAGTTCTCTGGTTTGAAGTTTTGCTTTCTTCCATCTGGATATCGGTTCGTCACTTTGCCTGTACTTCGAAAATATCGTTAACATCTGTGTCCATTTTCTGCATTTCATATCCTGTGTTTGAGCTGTACACCTGCCTTTGAATCATTGCTTTTCCGCCCACTGGAAGTTCGTTTCGAAAAGTCTGTCTCGCTTCCAACCACTTTCTTCCCATAGGGTGGCGTTTGCTTTCACTCTGCGTTTGCATCCAACTTCGTGCCCATTGCTTAACGCTTTATCACCGTCGTCGGTATAGTTCAACCAGTCTTCCGTCACTGAATCAGCCCAAATAGATCCAAAACTGGAAGTGCACACCCACACCACGTTGCATTATCTGTCTATTATTTCTCTCTCTCTCTCTCTCTCTCTCTCTCTCTCTCTCTCTCTCTCTCTCTCTCTCTCTCTCTCTCCCTCCCTCCCTCCCTCCCTCCCTCCCTCCCTCCTTCCCTCCTTCCCTCCCTCCTTCCCTCCCTCCCTCCCTCCCTCCCTCCCTCCCTCCCTCCTTCCTTCCGTCCCTCCCTCCCTCCTTCCCTCCCTCCTTCCTTCCCTCCCTCCCTCCCTCCCTCTTTCTCCCTCTCTCCCTCTTTCCCTCTCTCCCTCTCTCCCTCTCTCTCTCTCTCTCTCTCCATCTCATGTACATTTATGATTATTACTTTGTAAGCTTCCATTTAATGTTCTTAGTGTACAAGTGATCACGTCTATATTAATGTCCTTTGGCGCAGAACAAAGTGAATACTGCAATACTCTCTCTCTCTCTCTCTCTCTCTCTCTCTCTCTCTCTCTCTCTCTCTCTCTCTCTCTCTCTCTCTCTCTTTTACTCTCTCCCTTTCTCCCTCACTCCATCTCTCCCCCCCCCCTCTCTCTCTCTCTCTCTCTCTCTCTCTCTCTCTCTCTCTCTCTCTCTCTCTCTCTCTCTCTCTCTCTCTCTCTCTCTCTCTCTCTCTCCCCCTCTCTTTCCCTCTCTTTCCCTCTCTCCCCTCTCTCCCCCTCTCCCCCTTTCTCCCTCTCCCTTTCTCCCTCTCCCTCTCTCTCTCTCTCTCCTTCTCCCTCTCCCTCTCTCTCTCCTTCTCCCTCTCCCTCTCCCTCTCTCGCTCCCGTGGCCACTCCACTCCTCCACAATTCGCGTGATGTTGCCCGCGTTCGCCCGGGTCTATGAGACAGCCATTTTTGAGCTCTTCCTGAAACTTTCCGGAGAAACCCCGTCGCACTTTTTGTCCATTTTGATGCCATTTTAAGGGTAATAGTTTTGCGAAGTTGTGGTGGCTGACAGTGTCGTTAGGTCATAGCCTCTGACACCTGGAGGGGAGACACTTGGAGGGGGAAAGGAGGGATGTTCGTGCTGTTATAATAATGTCGACATAAAGAAAATAACATCGGGGAGAGTTTAGACTACAGGACAGGGTTGATGACGACGCGCGTTGGAGGTCATGTATGTTCTTTATTTATTTGTTTATTCATTGATGTATCTGTGTATTTTATTATTGTTGTTATTTTTTTTGGGGGGGAAAGGGGTTGCCGTGTTGTGTGTGTGTGTAGAAGGCTGGTAGGACTGAAGGGGAGAAAGAATATCATATATATATGTTGATGATAAGCAGATAATTATAGAGGTTGTCTTATAATTCAGAATATAATACTTAATATGTATAATGTAGCATGTGATAAATCATAAATGATGACTGCATACTCTTCCTCCGAGTAGATTGGAGCTGGCAGGTCATAACCGATATTTGATACATCATCCCGAACCCTGTCATTGATACTAATAGCATGTGTGTTGTCTACAGATGATCAAGGCGATCCAGGTGTTACGCATCCACCTGCTGGAGCTGGAGAAGGTGCAGGAGCTGTGCAAGGACTTCTGCAACCGGTACATCACCTGTCTGAAGGGCAAGATGCAGAGCGAGAACCTCTTGAGGACTGAGTACGGCTACGACTCCCCGGGCTCTCCTGACGGCGGGAGTCCCTACAACGGCCATCACCAGCACCACCTGCCACACCATCACCCACAGGTTAGGTCATCCAATCCCTTGTTGCGAAACGGTGCTCGGCCATTCGAGACCATCATGCGTCACCACCCTGTCATGCGCACCAGTTAGGTCACAGCCAGCCATTCTTCACCCCCATTCGCATTGTGTGTCTTCAGCGCAACTCGATGTATCGTTCCTAAATCATCGCGTCGCTCATCATCCACGAGGCGAAGTCAGGAAGGCTCCTCGGCCGCGTCCACACAAGGTCACGATCGCCCTTGCTAGAAGCCTGCCTTACATGACGAGGCGCCAGGAAGCGTGTGGAGGCATAAAGTCGTTAGGAACCGCAGTCGTTAGCGAGCTCTATTCTCCTTCCCGAGCCATACATCTGGAGGTCCCCGCAACGAGTACGTCACTGCAGAGAGCGGGAGTACACCGTGAGCTGCTTGGGAGCCTTTTGTTGATGGAGCAGGATAGATCATCTTTTTTCTCTCGGTCTACAGGATAGCTCACTCCTATAGGGCTCTCCTTATCCTTTTGTTCTTGCGAAAGGCACTTTTATTCGATTCGACTCATTATTTTTTTTAGCTATTTATCCCTCTGTTCAAAATAGGGAATATTTAACAACGACGGTAAAAGATATTCAGTCATTATTTGCGTAGGTAAGAATGATCTAGAAAAAAATGGTTTTTTTTAGCTATTTATCCCTCTGTTCAAAATAGGGAATATTCAACAACGACGGTAAAAGATATTCAGTCATTATTTGCATAGGTAAGAATGATCTATAAAAAAAAATGAATTCGCCAGTTTTGTCGTGTTCAACACCTTCGAGGAATCTGCAAGAGACCCCAAACGATTCCAATCCAGAGGCCATTCGCTCCGCTCGGCGATATTGACATACCTTGAAATTCGTCCATACTTTAGTTGCCCTCCCTCCCTTTTTCATTCTATATTCTGTGTTCGGTCCTATTCGGTACATTTTTCTTTTGTTCGTTCCTTTTCTTTCTCGCTCGTTATTCCTTTTTTCTTTCTTGCTGTTCTCCGGTCCCCAGTTCTTTCGTTGATGTGTTTTAACGGCGTCCCCTCCATCATCATTTTTTTTCTTTATTTCCTTGGTTGTCGCCTTTTTCTCCATCTTCTGCTTTTTCTTTTTGACCTCTCTTCCGTTCTGTTTCTTTCTCTGCCCCCATCGCTTTAGCTTCTCCAGAATTAAAGGTAGCAAGATAGAGAGATGGAAAAGAAAAGAAGATAAGAAAGAAAAAGGAGGAAGGAGAAGAAAAGAGAGAGTGACAGAAAGAGAGATAGAGATAAAAGCAGCGGAAGAAAAAGCACGGGAAGGTTTTATCCCTCTGGAGCCTCCGTCTTTCTCTCTTTTTTGTCCCTCGCTCAGATCGTAAACTCCTAGAGGGTCCACTCCTGTGAGATATACTCCTTCCTCCCGGGCGGAGTGATCGAGGGGACTCCGGCCAGACACACCGCAGGAGAGCAGTCGCAGACGGCGTCCAGCTCGCTCGGGGCGCGGAGGAGGAGGCAAGGGAAAGGGGGCGGGGAGAGGGGAGGGGAGGGGAGTAGGTGGTGCGAGGGGGCGAGGGTGGGTGGGGGTGTGTAGGGTTTGGGTGTGGATTGGGGTGGGTGTAGTTGTGGGTGGGTCGGAGAAGAGCAGACTGGATGTGGGTGTGGTTTGAGTGGATGTGTGTGTGTGAGTGTGTGTGTGTGTGTGTGTGTGTGTGTGTGTGTGTGTGTGTGTATTTATATGTGTATGTGAGTGTGTGTGTGTGTATGTATGTGTATGTACGTTTCTTTGTGTGTGTGTCCGTGTATTGTAGTGGTATGTCGGGGATATATCTGCGTGCATCGGTTTCCAGTGTGCTTATCACCATATCTCTTCTTAAACGCCCTGCAAACGGCCACATCTAAGAACCTCGAGGATTATATGAATTAGTAGCCATCTCATTAGGGGAAACGAAGCCAGACGGTGAGGATATTGGGCAGGCGATAGCGGCGGCATACATGTTAGGGCCCGGAACACCCCCCCCTCCTCCCCTCCCTTCCCTCCCTTCCTTCCCTCCCCTCTGAACACGACCAGCTCCACAGCATACCCCCCTCTCCCCTTCCCCACCCCCTTTCCCCTATACACACCCAACACCCCCTGCGCCTCCCCCCTCCCCCCTCCCTCCCCCTTCAACCCTTTTCGATGCCGATGTCGTTAAGATACCGTAGAGTGCCAGCATCGGACCCGAGATAAATGTGCGGTACATTTAAAAGATCTTCCTCGCAGATCCCGCCGCCGCGCCGTTCGGTCGGAGGGGGGGGGGGGTGATTGATTTTATTCATATTAGAGAGAGAGAGAGAGGGAGGGAGGGAGGGAGGGAGTGAGTGAGAGAGAGAAAAAGAGAAAGAGAGAAAGAGAAAGAAAGAGAAAGACAGGCAGACAGATAGAGAGCAGATCTGTACAAGGAACATTATAAAAGGGTAGGTTTATTAATAAATACACTATATACATATGTATTTACAGGTATATGTAGACAGATAGATAGATATTTAGGCTTGTATGGATGGATGTGTGTGTGTGTGTGTTATATATATATATATATATATATATATATATATATATATATATATATATATATATATATATATATATATATATACACATATATATACAAATATACATATATATGTGTGTGTGTGTGTGTGTGTGTATGTATGGATGGATGGATGGAAATATGCACACATTCATACACATCCATAGTACACGAATAGAAAGTATATCTGTATAAACAGATAGATATTAGAACTGAACTGAAATCACTTTGTTATTGCGATTATTGAAATCAAGATTGGAGTAAATTCAATCTCGGTCACAAGAATAGGAATACTTTGAATCTAATATATAACCGATGTATAACGGTAATTGATTTCGCGACGATAAATTCAATTATATGCTTAGAACTTTTACGTTGATAATTAGTTTTCGAGCGCCTTCGGCACCGTGTTCCAGGTAAGTACTTTTTTCAACGAATCCATGTTATGAATTATGAGAGATGGCCATTAGACGCATAATATAGCTTATTGGATTTTAACTTCATAAACACTTTCGTAAATTACACATGCACACATGTATGTATGTATGCATGTATGTGTACACACACATACACACACACACACACACACACATATATATATATATATATATATATATATATATATATATATATATATATATATGTATGTATGTGTGTGTGTGTGTGTGTGTGTGTGTGTGTGTGTGTGTGTGTGTGTGTGTATGTGTGTGTGTTGTGTGTTTGTGCGCGCGCGCGTAAATATAACTGTATATCTGTATTTATGTATCTGTCTATATACATACATACATACATACATATATATATATATATATATATATATATATATATATATATATATGTGTGTGTGTGTGTGTGTGTGTGTGTGTGTGTGTGTGTGTGTGTGTGTGTGTGTGTGTGTGTGTGTGTGTGTGTGTGTGTGTGTGTGTATGTGTGTGTGTTTATGCGTATATATATGTATGTATATATATATATATATATATATATATATATATATATATATATATATATATATATATATATATATATATATATATGTATGTATGTATGTGTGTGTGATGTATGTATGTACCTATTTATGTAAACATGAAAATAGAAATATGTAATAGGAAAATGGAAATCTCTGTCATTCTTTAGTCTTTCTTCAAATTCCAGCTTCTTTTGGCCTGCATTCAATGATACTGTGTGTATATATGTGTGTATTTTTTATTAATATGAGTGCGTTTGTCAGCAGGATTACGCTAAAAGTTGTTGACGGACCAAAATTTATGGGTGGGTTAGCCATGGCTCAGGGACCAGCTGATTAGATTTTCGGTGAAGGAGGATGTATGACTTTGGGTGATTAAGAGTAGTTATGTGTAAAAGGAAGTCTTTTTTTGTGGATTGTGGTTCATGAGAGTAGCTGGTTAGTTGATTTCAGGTAGATTTGTGGTACCGAGAGTTCTGTGCGAAGAAAATAAGGGTAGATCATTGCAGGAAGGTTCAGGGCTTGGATAAGTAGATTTCTTTTGTTACTTAATGACTTTGGTGTCACAGTTGACAACGAATCACAGAATAGGGACGGTGTTGCAAGTATTTTTCTCCTAGGAGTTTTACGAGCTGATTTTATTGCTATGGATTTCGTATTTCTCCTCCTTCGCCCTTTTCTTATTTATTTACCATTGTCTCGCATGTTGTGTGGTTTGTGGTTCTCGAGACGATATATTCAGACACTTGTCGATGATTTAGCGCTCGTCGAAGGCTCGCCAAAGTGACGGTTGTGATTTTATTTTCTAGATTTTTATTTGCTTATATTTCATACGTTGATTTGAGCATCGGATGAAGTGTGGCAGTAAATAAAAAGTGCAGAAGAACGAAGAGAACTAGAGGGAGAGGGAGAGAGGGAGAGGGAGAGGGAGAGGGAGAGGGAGAGGGAGAGGGAGAGGGAGAGGGAGAGGGAGAGGGAGAGGGAGAGGGAGAGAGAGAGAGAGAGAGAGAGAGAGAGAGAGAGAGAGAGAGAGAGAGAGAGAGAGAGAGAGAGAGACGACAGACAGAAATAGGAAGAACGAGAGAGGAAGTAACGGATAAAAAGAAAAAAAAAAATCAAACACGATTAGAAAAATAAATAACTTTCATCCTACCTTCCTTCCCCTCCACCACCACCAACCCCCCAGAAAAAAAAAAAAAATATATATATATATTTAAAGAATAAACAGCCTTCCCACCCCTCCTTAACCTATTTTGAAGCCTATGTCATTAAGAGCTCCCAAAGACCGCAAAGAGGCGATAGAGCTTCACGGCGCTATTGTCTGGTAATGTCTGAGGTCTTTGTGGGGCGCCGAGGGGGGTCCCGCGCTCGCCAAGTTAGCCCCGGCACAAGGGCGTGCTGCTGGAGGAGGGGGAGGGATGGAGGAGGGAGAGTGGGAGGGAGGGAGAAGGGGGAGGGGGGGGGGCAGCTGGAGGAGGAGGAGGAGGGAGGAA